GTCTCTTTAGTACTTACTCTTCCATTCCCACCCACCTGATGCCTCCAGTTCCCATCCCCACCTGCCCTCAGTGTACTCACGAAATCTCTTCTCTTTTCCCTTCTGAGAGTGTTCTGGAGCCCTCATTGTAGCCTAGTTTCTCTAGGTCTGTGGATTGTAGCATGATTATCCTTCACTTTACCGCCAATATCTACTTTTAAGTGAATATATACTATGTTTGTCTCTCTGGGTCTGGGTTTCTCACTCAGGATTATTTTTTTCTAGTTCTATCCATTTGGTCAGACATTATTCTAATGGACCTATATTATATGTGACTTGATCTTTTTCCTTTGAAGCATTTACTATCCTTTGTTGTGTACATTTAGTATTTTTATTATTATTTATTGTAGAGAATTTCTTTTCTGGTCCTGTTTAGTGTTTTGTATGCTTCTTGTTCCTTGATAAGCACTTTTCTTCTTCTGATTGTGGAATTTTTTTTTTTTTTTTTTAAATGATTTTGTCAGTATTTTCTGTGGCTTTGATCTGGGCTTTTCCTCTTCTCTATTCCTGTTATTCATAGGGTTTTTTGTTTTAGTTTTTATTTTTGTTTTTCCATAGTGTTCCATATTTCCAGGGTGCTTTGTGCTTAGACTTTTTATTTATTTTAAGGTAATATTTTCTTTGATTGAATTGTTCAACTACTGCCTGATCTTTAGGACTTGAAGCTCTTCATTCCATGCCATGTAATCTGTTGGTGAGGCTTACCTCTGAGGTTTCTGTTTGACATCCTAAGTTTCTCATTTCCATTTTTATAGTTATGTATTTCAGTATGTGTTTTCTTTAGTGATTCTGTTTCTACTTTCTACTTTCATGTCTTCAAATGTTTTTATTGTTTCATCAACTGTTTATGTCTTCATTAAGACATTTATTTGTTCAGATTCTTCTTAAGGTCCTGAACATATTTTAAATTGTCATTTTTTTTTAAAAAAAGTATTTTTTTTATTTTTGAGACTATAATACAATTACATTATTTCTTCTTCCCACTGAAGACTCCCATATACCCCTTCCTGTTCCCTTTCAAATTCATAGCTTCACTTGTCATTGTCAATACATACTATATGTAGTTGGTATTGGATAACCAGTTGGTGTACTCTTCTGCAAGAAAGACTATTTCTCTCACTCTTAGCTTTCTTAGTTGTCTGTCGTTCTTTGTGTAGGGTTGGGGCTTCATGGGCTCTCTCCCTTGTCAATGCTAGCATGCTTGTTGTTGTTGTCCTTGCTCAGATCATGTGTAGGCAGCCACACTGGAGAAACTTTATGGTTATAGCTTCTGACATTCTGTATGTACTCACTCATATATGGATTTTAGACGTAGAGCAAAGGATCATCAACCTATAATACACACCGCCAAAGAAACTAGGATACAAGAAGGAACCTAAGAGATTCATATATAAGATTCACATATAAGATCCCTCCCAATAAGCATATTGGGAGTGTGGGGAGCTAGTGAGAGTAGAGAGAGTTAGGACAAAGAGAAGGAGAGGAGAGGAAAGCATGTGGGACTAGGAAGATTGAGTCGGGGAGAAATAGTCAAGAGCAACAAACAAACAAAAAAATAAATGAAATACCATAATAGACGAGAGCACTAAACAAACAAACAAACAAAAAGAGATAACATAATAGTGGGAGCCATTATAGGTTTGGAGAAAAAACTGACTCTAGAGAAATGTCCAGAAGCCTACAAGGATGACCCCCAACTAACATTCTGAGCAACAGTGGAAAGGCTACCTTAAATGCTCTTCTCTGATAATGAGATTGATGACTAACTTATATGCCATCATATAAGCCCTCATCATAGAGCCCTCATCTCCATAGTAGCTGATGGAAATAGAAGCAGATACCCACAGCTAAACACTGAGCTGAACTCCTGGAATCGAGTTGCAGAGAAGGACGAGTGATAAGAAAATGGGGGCAAGATCAGGCTACAGAAACCCACAGAGACAGCTGACTTGAACAAGGGGGAGCTAATATACTCCCAGACTGATAGCTGGGAAACCAGCATTAGACCAACTCAGACCCCTTGAACATGGGTCTCAGTTAGAAGGCCTGGGCAGTCTAAAGGACCTCTGACAGTGGAACCAGGATGTATCCCTGGTTCATGAAAGGACTTTGGGAGCACATTCCCCATGGAGGGATACTCCCTTAGCCTAGAGGCAGGAGGGAGGGCCTAGACCCTATACCAAATGATTTGACAGATTTTGTTGATCCCTCCTGGAAGGCATCACCCTCTCTGTGGAGTGTGGTGGGATGGCATAGGAGGGGGGGTTATGGGCCTTGGGAGGGAGAGGGAACTGGGATCGATATGTAATTATAAAATTTTTATTAAAATAAAAAAGAAAATATAAAGAATTAAAAGAAAGAAAGATATATATGTCACCTTAAAATTGTTATTTTAAAGTCCTGTTTTTTTTTTTTTTTTGCTCAGTTAAATTGCATGTTTCACGGCCTACTGCATTGGTTGCTGGCTCCTGGAGAAGATATATTATCTTGGCTGTTTATGTTTGTGTTTTTGCACTGAGAACTAGGCATGCTTGAGGTGTTTCTTGGCATAGCTATCTGGTCTGGTTTTGTCTTTGTTGCGTGGGTGTCTTGTTCTTTGGTTGCATTTGCCTACTATGGATCCATCCTGGTATGTTTAGTGGTAGGGGGACCACAATAGAGAGGGTTGCCAGCTGAAACAGATGAATGGGACTGGGCTAGGAAGAAAGCCTGAGCGGGATAGCAGGAAAGAGCCAGGCCACTGGGGTTTGCACTAAGAGGCAGAGTTCCAGAGAATGGAAGTGATGTGGCATGCATCGGGGCTAAGAATAAGTATGAGATCTCAAATGGATGATGGGAAGGATAATAAAAATCATCTGTCTGCATGTCAGCACAGTAGCTACTGGGTTTATTAGCTACTCGCTTCTTAACTGGACCTTGTTTGATCTAGGAGATCCTGAATAGGTTGGTTGAATCTAGAATCAGATGACAGTAGTCCTTAATGAGTTAGAGAGAGAGAGAGAGAGAGAGAGAGAGAGAGAGAGAGAGAGAGGGAGGGAGGGAGGGAGAGAGAGAGGAGAGTAACTGAGTAACCTTTGTCTAAAGTTACATTTACATATTTATAATTTTGGAGGGGGCATTTACTGCTGTGGTCCATGTGTGAAGGTGAGAGGACAGCTTCTTCCACCATGTGGGACTTGAGGATTGAACTCTAGTCATCTGGCTTAGTGGCAAGCCCTTTTACCTGCTGAGCCATTTCAGTGGCCCACATTTAAGATGTAGAATTTTAAAAAGTCATTATTGTTGAATTTTTACAGATATACTAGATTGTCACAAATGGAAAAGTTTCATAGATGTGCATAACAGCACAAGAACACAGATGGCTTTTCAAACAAATGTGAACATTCCAGTGACTGTGGTCTTTACAGTTGCTTAAAAGGTAGTCACTGAAAGTGGAGTAGAGGCCCCATGTCAATCTTAGTCATTTTATATTTCTAAATATTATTCTTAAAATAATATTCACAATATTCACGTTTCAAATCACCCAGGGAGGCTGAGGCATAAGGGTAAATATTGTTATGCTGTTCTGGTAGACATGCCCAGACCTTTCCTCAAAAAAAGAAAATATGCATGCATGCACGAGCGCACACACACACACACACACTTGATGAAAAGAGATTCTGGTACTCCAGTAACAACTTAGAAATCCTTTTCTGCTCTTGAGTAGTTGTCAGTATCCACACTTCATTTATTTGAAAGCTAAGAAACTATTGAAAGTCATGGCTTACAGTGTTCATTCTGGTTTCAGGGATTCATTTGCTGTAATACAAGAGATGAGTACTGCCCTTCCCTAGGTCAGCCTACACAGAATCTTTCTGTGTTGTAAGTTTTACAGTGCCTTCACACTAGTCAGCAGGACTCAGATAAATTACTACATTCTGCTTTACACTTAGAACTTATTGTTTATCTACCTGGGGTCTGTTCTTGGGGAGTTCTTTTTAAAAATAAAGTAATTCAGAAATAATTTTATAATTGCAAAATCTAATTTTAGAATTGTACCTTATTGAGGCAGGGTCTCACTAGTCTCTGTCCTACTACTGTCTCCAGCTGGCTGGCTCCTGAGCAGTTGGATGGTTCTGTCTCCACCTCCTCCCTCCTATCTCTCCTTAGAAAAGCAGGGATGATTATAGATGCAGCTCTTTAAATGTCAGCTTGAGTTTAAAATTCACTCTTGTAATTTTCAAAACATCTTTGAAAATACAAAAGTGTGCCTGAACTGTAAGATGAATCCTGATACAAGATAATATTCTTTATTATTCAGTAATCCATGCTAGTGGTTGTTTGTTTTTAAAGTTTGATATTAAATTAACCACTTTACATCTATTTTTCTCAAGCCTGAGCTGGTTTATAACTTAAGAAAATTCTTCTTATTGAATGTGTGTGTGTATGCACATGTTTGCAATTGTTCACATGCATTCATAAATACACATGTATCACAGCATGCGTGTGTAGGTCAAAGAACAACTTTCCCTCCTTCATGTAGGTCCTGAGCATCAAAATAAAGTTTTTAGGCTTGACAGCAAGTGTCTTTATCCACTGAACCATCTCACCAGCTGTGGTACAGTTTCCTGACTGATACTCAGTAATTAACTTATGAAGAAGTAGTTTGGGGATGATAACTGAAGCAGTTACATCTTGAAATCCCATGGGGGATGCATCAGTTTGACAGAAGCTAATCCATTCAATTCCTACAATTACTGAAGTCACTGTAGAGAGCTGGTGGAGATACCTCTAGGGAATTTGTGGTCTTCATGCCTTTGATGCCTCTCTTCTTGTCTTTCTTTGGAAGAACCATTATCTTCCAAATCTATGCAAAAGTGTGTGTGTGTGTGTGTGTGTGTGTGTGTGTTTAATTGAGTTGAGTGGCTACTTTATCAAGATCCCATCTTTTTTCTTTCATTCTTTTCTTTTTTTCCTTGTAGAATTTGCCATCTGCTGTTGTAGCTCATGTTCTGAATCCTCAACCTGGAGAGAAGATCCTAGATTTGTGTGCAGCACCTGGGGGCAAAACTACACATATTGCAGCACTGATGCAGGACCAGGTGAGAATGGCTTTGTGGCAGGCTTCTCTCACATAGTTCCCATGGCCATTGTGGATAACGAGGGAAGGAAGGGTGGGTGCTCAACTGAAAGACTCTCTGGTTATGTCATTTACCACACTCAGCTCAGTTGAATGTTGCTTCTGAGTACAATCTTGAGATAGTTCCAGTTTGCTAATACAATTATAGACTTGTTTTCTTACAGACTTTTTAACTGATACATTTAAGAGATCTTTTCTTACTCCTAATTTTGAGATTTTATACTTAGATGAACTACTAAGATATAAAAACTGCCACTAGAAATTAATTTGAGAGAATGTTATCAGTGTTGACATCATATTATGATCTGTATGCACACATACTTTGCATCAATAAACAGATGCACATACATGTGTATCTAAAAAAGTAAATATAGTCCTGATAATGTTTCATTATAATGGATGTAAGTCTGAGCCTGAATAACTTTCACCCAAATGTTACTGCATTTTTCTTTATGTATGTATGTTCCAAAAAGCTTTCTTTTTATTATGGGCTAGTTTATCTGTGCTCAAAATTAATTAATGTTGTAATCATTTTTTTTTCTTCAATTGAAGAAACATGGCCATTTGATGCTATCTATTTTGTTTCTGGCTCTACTTGCTAAATACTTGCTAAATTTAATGTGCAGAGAATGGGGTAGTGCAGTGATGTTGAATTCAAGGAGTGTGGATGCTTTTTATGATGTTTACATGCTAATGGGGATATATAACTGAGAGTTGAATACACAGGGAGAGGAAATAATAACTGAAATAACATCTGAGTAGGAGACATGGACTAGAATTTGATGTGCAGGTGATGTAAAGTGGTAGCATGAAACAATTTACTCTAGAAACAGAAGGAAAGTCACACACGTGAGTCACGTGCTGTTGAGATGGGACACATGCCACACCACTGGGCATTCTCCCAGTTGCTTCAGTTTTCTCAATGAAATAGGAAGCAAAGTGAACAGATGCAAAGAGGATGGGGGAGAGAAAGTAAGAATATTGAGCTATGAAATACCAATCTAGGAAATTGTGTACAAAAAATGAGACAAATCCTCTTTTTACTAAGGGGTCATGAATGTAGTGGTCAGATCTTTATGTTAAGGTTATTTGGTGGGATTTTATGCTTTTTAGCTGTATAAGGAGTGGGTAAGAAATTGATGAAGAACCATGGCAGATATTATAAGTATGCAACAGAGAAGCATGGCGTATATGTAGTTAAGCATGTATAGAAGGTAGTAATGGATGTGTTACAGAATCTAAGATGATTGAAAAGTGTAGCCTATAATGGAGCACTTGGGAGGCCAAAGGCATGATGATAACTGGTAGTAGGTCAAGGGTTAATTTATGGAGTTTTTAATGTACATAATTGTTTAGTTTACTCAGAACTTAGATGTGGTACCAATATGCTTTGTAAAGGTCATGATCTGCCTATAATTTGTGATACATTGATTGTATTTGTTAAAAGTAACTTGCTTGGGCGTGGGTCTAATGCTGGGGATTGAAACTGGGACCTGTGTACAAGCCAGGCAAGTGCTTAAAAACACAGTTCTGTGGTGGCATAAAACTAAACATTTGTTAGCTGAGGCAGTTTGAGTTTGGGGGATTGTGCTGGTCTGAAAGGCCTATTCATGTACCTGGTCAGCTGCAGATAAACTGGTGCTTCTGCTAATGTGGGATGAGCCCAGTCACTCAGGTGTTTATGATTTTTAGTTAGCTAAAGTGATCTCTACAGAGACATCTAGGACTCCCTGCCTCTCTGGTACATGCGTTTCTCTTGAGGACTGGCCCAGCAAAGGGCAGTAAGTTGTAAATTATCCAAATACTTTTATATATCTGATTTGTTTGTTGTTGTTGTTGGTTTTTTTTTTTCCCAGACAGGGTTTCACTGTTTGTTTTTCAAGAAAGGGTTTCACTATGTAGCCCTGGCTATCCTGGAACTTACCCTGTAGACCATTATGCATATTCTTATATCCCATTCACCATTTTGCTATCAGCCCAAAAATAGGCATATGGCTAAGTCTTAGAGTGAAAGGTTGTTAGATTCTTAAGTTTGCTGGAGCTTTTGATTTTTTTTTTTTGTTCTTAGTTAAGCAAGCATATAAATATAGCATTTAGATGTGTGCATTTGTGAAAGTGGCTAGGAACATTTGTCTTTTTCTGTAGTGTAGTTGAGCCATATTTGGCTTTTTTCCCCTACTACTTTTTCAGGTCAACTTGTTTGTCAAGGTTATTGTTTTTTTTTTTTTTTTTTTTTTTTAAAGCCCTGATGATGAAGAAATATGACTGTGTTACAGTGTTGATGCATGTGCCATATAAGGATGATTTACACAGTTTAAAAGACAAGAAAATGTATAGAAGATTTGGTTCACCATGTATGCACTGTTACTTCATAGTGTGTTTCAAAATATCACCCAGATGACCCAGGACATTCTTAAAACTGACTATGTGACTTTGACATAAATATGATTTGTTAAGATATCTTAAGTTAGTTTCATTATGACATTTCCATACATATTTGTCATTATACTTTGCTTTTCTTTATCATCATCATTCCTTGCTCTTCCTATCCATTTCTCATGCTGTGCCCGTTCCTCCACACAAATTATCTTTGGTTCTGCTTCCATGTCACATAAATCCCATTACTCTTTTTTTTTCCTGCCTCCCACCTCCTTTCCACTTGCTTTCTTTATTCTCATGCTCGCTTTCTACTGTCATGATACACACACACACACACACACACACACACACACACTGCATATGGGAGAAAATGTGCAATACTTGTATTTTTTTTAATCTGGCTTGTTTTGCTTAATGTAATTATATCTTGTTCCATCCATTTTCTTGTAAGCTTCATTCAATTTTCTTTGCATGTATTTTCTTGAAGATATTTGTTCTTGTTTATCGGAGAAATTGGTCTATAGTTTTCTTTGTTGTGTTGTTACCTGGTTAGTATAAGGGCAGTTGATATTAGCTTCAAGGATGGGTTTGACAATGGAAAAGTTTGAGTAAAATAGATTTTAGCTCTTCTTTAAAAGTTTAGTAGAATTCAGTGAGAAGCTTTCCAGTTCTGGGTTTTTATTTGTTAGTTTTCTTATTACTGCTTCATTCTCATTGGTTGCCATAGATATACTTATATTCTTGATTGAATTTTAGTAGATTGAGTGTGCTTAGGTATTTATCCATTTATTCTAGATTTGCTTCCATCTGGAATGTAAATTTTCACAGTATTCTCTAATGAGCTTCTGTATTTCATTGGTGTCTGATGTAACTTCCTTTTTTTTCTCTTTAAGTTTATTACTTGAGTCTTGCTCTTTTGAAGGGGCTTTGTTTGGGTAGAAATTTATCAGTCTTGTTCATCTTTTCAAACAACTTTTGGTTGAGTCTGTGTATTATTCTTTTAGACTATATTTGATTAAATTCTGCCCTTTATTTCTTTCCTTTGTGCTGAACTCATTCTTACATTCCTGACCTCAAGCAGCATCATGAGGTTTTCTTTTCTTTATTTTATATATTGATTCCAGTTCCCTCTCCCTTCCATCCTTCTATACTCCCCACAGACCTCCCCCATTTAATCCCCCATCCACTCCCCAGGGAGGATGAAATCTTCCATGAGGGAACATCAAAATCTTTCAAGTTATTTGGGGTAGGCCTTAGGCCCTCCCCCATGTCTCTAGGTTAAGGGAGTATCCCTTTCTGGGGAATGGGGTTCCAAAGTCCTTTCCTGCACTAGGGATACATCCTGGTTCTATTGTCAGAGGTCCTATAGACTGTTCACCCTCATAACTGAGACCCTCGTTCAGGGGGTCTGGGCCGGTCTTATGCTGTTTTCCCAGAGCTCCTCGTTGTTCAGGTCAGCTGTTTTTGTAGGTTTTTCCAGCCTGTTCTTGACCCCTTTGCTCATCACTCCTCCCTCTCTACAGCTGGATTCTGGGAGGTCAGTGTTTAGCTTGGGGGTTTCCACTTCTGCTCCATTAACTATGAATGAAGGCTCTAGGATGGCATATAGGGTAGTCATCAATCTCATTATAAGGGAAGGGCATTTAAGGTAGCCTTTCCACTATTGCTAAGATTGTTAATTTGAGTCATGCTTGTAATTTCTGCATATTTCTCTAGTGCCAGATTTCTCTTTAAACCTATAATGGCTCCCTTCTATTATGGTATCTCTTTTCTTGTTCTTCTGTATTCTTCCCCCAACTCAATCTTCCTGCTTCCTCATGTTCTCCTCTCCTCTCTTCACCCCTTCTCTTTCTCCTGACTCTCTCTCTCCTCCCCTCTACTCCCAATTTGCTGAGGAGATCTTGTCCCTTTCCCCTTCTCCAAGGAACCATATATATATATCTCTTAGGGGCCTCCTTATTTCCTAGCTTCTCTGGTGGTTTGAATTGGAGGATAATACTTTGCTATATGTCTAAAATACATATATGAGTGAGTACATACCATGTTCCTCTTTTTTTGTGACTGGGTTACCATACTCAGGATGGTTTCTTCTAGTTCCATCCCTTTGCCTGCAAATTTCAAGATTACATTCTTTTTTCTGCTGAGTAGTACCCCATTGTGTAAGTGTACCACATTTTCTTTATCCATTCTTCAGTTGATTCCATGTTCTGCCTGTTACAAATAATGCTGCTATGAATATAGTTGGACACAGGCCTTTGTTGCAAGAATGTGCATCTTTTGCATATATATGCCTAAGAGTAGAATTGTTGCATCTTGTGGTAGACTGACTTCCATTTTCCTGAGGAACCACCATACTGATTTCCAAAGTGGCTGTACAAGTTTGCACTCCTACCAGCAGTGGAGGAGTGTTCCCCTTTCTCCATATTCTCTTTAGCATAAACTGTCATTTTTTTAAATGTTAGCCATTTTGACAGGAGTAAAATCATATCAGAGGTATTTTCATTTGCATTTCCCTGATGGCTAAGGATGTTGAAGACTTTCTTAAGTGTCTTTTCAGCCATTTTATATTCCTATATTAAGAAT